TCAAAAGAATGTTAAAATGTAAAATCTAACAGAAAAGAATTAGAAATTTAATTTGAATTAATTGAAAGTGATTTCTTTACGCAATTGAGAAAAAAGAATTAAAATTGAAAAGAAAAGGAAATATACAAAGTTTGATGCTTGTCGAATAATGTAAGAAAATAAAATGTGAAGTAATGGAGGAAAAATAACACAACATCAACAACAATGCAATTAAGAGGAAATAATTTGAAACAAAAAAAGAAAATAAAACACATTAAAACAGAAAGTAATACTAATTGATTTCAGCCGGATGACCATAGAATTTTAGTGTTTTACAATAACAATAATAATAATAATAATAATAATAATAATAATAATAATAATAATAATAATAATAATAATAATAATAATAATAATAATAATAATAATAATAATAATAATAATAATAATAATAGTAATATAATAATAATAATAATAATAATAATAATAATAATAATAATAATAATAATAATAATAATAATAATAATAATAATAATAATAATAATAGTAATAATAATAATAATAATAATAATAATAATAATATTAATAATAATAATAATAATAATAATATAATAATAATAATAATAATAATAATAATAATAATAATAATAATAATAATAATAATAATAATAATTATAATAATAATAATAATATCACAATCACAAATAAAAATAATAAATTAATATTATTAATATTAATAATAATAACAAACATAATTCTATTAACCATGAATATATTTAGTGGAAAATAAGTTAAATAAAGATAATAGTGCAAAACAAAAAGCAAAAACAAAAATATGCAAAAATAAAAATATGCAAAAATAAAAATATGCGAAAACAAAAATATCCAAAAATATATATATAATTTTGATCATATATATCATATATTTTTTACATTTTTTGTGAAATAATAACAAAAAACAAAAGAAAATCTTGTATTTTCAAAAGTTTATTGAAACAAAGTGGTCGTAAATAAATCCTTCAATAACGAATATACGAAAAAAAAAAACAAAAATTAAATAAAAATCCTTACGCGTTCAATTTCGTAAAATATTTCGACTTTAAAATCGATTTAAAAAAATTCTGGGCAATGTAGGGATTTTTGAATAAATTCGAATTTTGGAATTTAATGTTATAAAAAATACGGCATTTGGCGATCAAGGAAATCTGATGAAATATTTAATAACTCATAAAAAACAACAGAATAACAAGTTTAAAAGCAGTAAGTTCGGCCAGGCCGAACTTGGAATACCCTTCACCATTTGGAACGAATTTAGAAATTTTAAAATATTAAATCCTTAAAAAATTCTTTTAATATTTTAAAAATACCAAATTTAGCGGTTATATTGGTGTCTATACCACGTGGACCTACATAGGCATTGCTTGTCATAAGCCATTACCATATTCAAATTCGAAACTTGAAATAAACGGTGAATAATGTAGCTATAATCATCAAATCCGATATATCGGAGCTGTGCGAAGACCTGGACCAGCAAAGACAATTCTCTGTCACAGGCTGTAGTATCCATTACGAAGTTCAAATACGACATCTCAAACGATGTTGGTGGGTATTGTACCTAAAATCGTCAAAATACCGAATATAGGGAGGTACTGATATATGGAACCTATACGAAGACGTGAACCAGCACTGACAATTTTCTGTCATAGGCTGTAGTATCCATTTCGAACTTTAAATAGCAAATTTGAAACAATTCCAGTTAATAATGTCGCTTAAATTATCAAAACACCGAATATTTGGTGGTACCGTTATATGGGGGCTATATGAAAACGTGGACCTGCATGGCTCATTTACGAACTTAACCTGCCTACTGGCAAAAGAAACATGTGAGCAAAATTTTAGCCCTCTATCTAAATTCGTTCGAAAGACAGCGTGATTACAACAGAGAGACAGACATTCAGACGGACGTCGCTAAATCGACTTAGAATTTTACGCTGATCAAGAATATATATACTTTGTTGGGTCTGACATGAGTATTTCGAGGAGTTACAAACGAAATGACAAAATTAATGTATGTTAATGTTTTTTATTGTGCACCAAATGTGTAATATTAGTCCAGATCGGATGAAATTTGGCACATACTATTAAATTTATCCTAGAAATAGGTATGTCAAATTTGGTGGAAATCGCTTCAGATATAGCTATATATTTTAAATCCGATTTTTGTTCTTCACGGCCGATATACGGGATCGGATCAGATTTGGATGCAGCTACCATGCCTTCACTTGATTTCAAGTTTATTGAACACCAAATAGTTAATATAAGCCCGAATGGAATGGATTTTGGCACCTACGAATGAAATCATCGTGTAAGAAAGTGTATCCATATTGGTAAAAATCGATTAAAATATAACTATAAGTCCCTTATATATGTTTCATCCGATTTTGTATTTAAGTCCCTCACACCCGTAAAATGCTCCCCACAACAACGATAATTGGTCAGATACAACATAGAAATACCTTTGCTTAATTTTATAGAGATCTTTTCAGATTTGGATATAGGTCCCATATATATCTTCATCCGATTTGACGGTTTTTGTGCACCAACTATGTAATATCAGCTCAAACAGGATGAGTTTTGACGAATATTGGTTCAGACACAAATGCCTCCGTCAAGTTTAGTAGAAATTGATTCATAGTTGGTATATAAATTCCCCATAAAAACGTTTATTTGTTCTGGTTAGATTTACTAACCATGCAAAGTGATGTGGGGTATCAGAAAGTTGGTCCGCCCGACTTTTAGACTTTCTTTACTGGTTTCTGTCTGTTTTATGGATTTAAAAATTGGACATATTGGCTTATGTTTAAATTGAACATAAACTTTATTACTTTGCACTCTTATAGTGTTCGACTACTCCACACAAAAATATGAATTGCTTAACGTTCTCTTATAAATGAGAGTTTCACTCTATTCAAAATATTTTAAAAGTTTCGATCATGTTTTCGAAATTAAAAAGCTATAAAAATGCCAACCCGGTTCAAAAAAAAAAATGAAATGAAATGAAATCGAAATTGTTTTGTGGTGTGTATTGTGTGTGGGAGTATAACAAATGAAGTACATATATTAATATTTTCGGTAAGGAGAGAACTGAGGTACCATTTAGTTCATTGTGTTCATCGTAGGAAAAATGTAGTTTTTGGTGATAGGAATGATATAGAAAAAGGTGAAGGAAGGGATTCTAGAGGGAGAGAGAGTACAGTTAGCAGGGCGGCCTGCTTATGCAGGGAAAGTTTTTGGCAATGTTGTAGGTGATGATGGGATCTATATTAAAAAAGAACGTTGGAGTTTCTACCTCCCACCTATGTAAGAGCAAGTGCGAAAATTGAATATATCGGCCCACACCATCCTAACATTAGAGTAAGTGTGAGAACAGTCAATGTAGGTCTACGTTTTGATATATTCCCCTTATAACTGTACCTCCAAGTATTTGGTATTTCATAATTTTTTCCCCGAAAATGTTTAAAATTTACAATTTGAAGTTCGCAACGGGTACTATTTATGAAAGAAGATTGCATACATGTTTCCACGTCCTCGTATAACCCCATATAACGGCACATATATTCGGTATTTTGTTGATTATCGTAATGAACTATGGCGAAAATTGCATTTACAGGTCCTCGTCCACATAAAGGCCCAATATAACGTTAACTCCCTATATGCGGTGTTTGTATGATTCTTGCAGTATTTTTCAACGGATTTTTTTCGGTCCGGCCGAACTTTCTGTTTTTTTACTTGTTTACATTACCTTTTATTCCGGCTCAAACTCCTTCCATGTTATTGCTGGATAGATCAACCTTTTCCTGTAGCCTCCTCCATAATAATGGGTATGTCTAATGACTTTCTGAGTATATCGGGCACCGGCTAATGCGAACCCAAGTTTACTACATTTACTAATTTTTGTAAGTAGTCCCCACAGCAAACTTTCATACTCCCCAATTTATCACGTTACAGGCCACAATAATGACGCAAACCTCACGAAATTTTGCATTGAGTCGGGCTTACAGTCAGAATAAAAACCTTTTGTGCTTGAAATTGACCAAAAATAGAATTTTCTGATATTATAGTCTCTCAGGTCATAATAATATACTAACTGGCGCCTGATTTTGCGTAGGGTTAGAATTTAGAATAACGAAGAAGCGCAACAGTAGAAAAAAAGTTATTTTTGTTTACTTAAGTACGAAAACTGAAAAATCTATTTTTCTGTCATTTGCTTTGCAATTGAAAGAAAAATAAGTTTGCTGAACAGGCTAATAATATATTAAGGAAAAAAATCTGCATGACTTTGAAAACAAAAACTCTATAAATATATGCCTGTACAAAGAATCCCATAATTACTGACATCATCTAACCCCCCATATTGCGGTATAGTGTGAAATTAATAGTCTCGCTCCATAATTTATGTGCATACACATATGAAAATAACTCCACATTCATGTTTTGCAACCGCCAACTCATACATGCACTCGCGAACATATGCAGCTGTATTAAATGACATACGCGATATAACTGTCATCCAAATGTGAATTAAAACTGCTATTTCAAAATATCCAGTGAAATGTGAAATTACTTTCAACAAGTGCAAGTTGTGTTATTTTTGTTATTATTCCTCGGTATTTGTTTGCAGTTCCAATGCAGAAGGAGAGATAGATGTTCATATGCATATATATGTGTGTGTATTATACATACATATTGCCACCATAGCAGTCCGCTATAAGCATGGCATGTGGTATGACAGCATATACTGTGTAGGAAGTAACGTGCTAGAATTTTTAAATATCCTCGAACTTCAAAATGAAAAACAACAGCAGCAATTTGAAATGCAGAAAACATGTTAATGTATATCAACATGAATGCAGTTTTTGAATTAATGATGAATTGAAATGCAACAAAAATGAATTGAGAAATGAAAAATGTGAAAACAAACAACAACAAGTGAGTCATTGCAGAAAAATCAATGGATGTAACATAACAAATTTTCAATGTTATCAAAATCTGGAAAATATTCAATTAAAAATGGAAATAATTTCTGAATGAAATGGAAATGTGCTGTGTTAAATGATTTACATACAAAAATAATTAAAATAATGATAACTACCAAAACAATTACTGTTCAATAAAACAAGGACTATTAATAAAAAAACATGTCGGAAAATGTGGATGTAGAATTATTGGTGAATTGCACCATTCTGGCTGTGAAGCGTTTTGAGCTTATCTCCATTGTAAATATAAGTCTGCTGCACACCCTCAACCGTACGGATATTATTGGTGTTCTAACTGGTATAATCGAAAACAAGGATAATTTGGATAGCATAAATGATGCCAAGTAAGTGAAATGTTATTTTTTCGAATTTGTTTTTATATTTGCTGTCCAAGTGATGGCCATTGTCTGTTTGTACATACATTTGTATGTGCGTATGTAATAAAAATGTATGAGAGACAATGTAGAATATTGTAAATGAAATGAAATAAAAAATGTACATGTATCGGATATTTTCAATTACGTTAAATATTTATATGTCTGCCATGTTATCGTAGAGTATTATGAAAAAAAAAACATTGAAATAACGTTCACTTAATAAGAAATTAGAAGGCTTCTGCCCAGCCCTAAGCTCTAGCCCCATGCTAACTTCCGCGTCGATTGGGTATAATTGCAACCAGTAGAGCAACTGCAAAATCAGGAAATTTTTCAGTTTTTCGTCCATTTCAACCTAAATATTGTGCGATCATCTCCTAAAACAATAGGGTTCTATTCTGACCATAACCCCACCTCCATTTTCAATTTCGTGAGGATCGGTCTATAACTGCGACCTGTAGCGTGATTAAAAATTAACAGGGACAGACGGACGGACGGACATACATAGATAGCGAGATGGGAAAATCCATATATATTTTCCTATGTTGGAAACCAATATTTCGAGATGGTACATAATTTTCGGACGGCCGAGGGTTTTATGTTAATTGTACGTTCCCCTAAATTAATATCCCTCTAAATTTTGACGGAAATCAATTTCGAAAGTCTCAGTCGGAGTTTAGTTTATTCCATATACATCTTTATCCAATTTGTATTTTACTGTGCATCAAATATATAATATTAGCTCAAATATTATTGAATTTGGCACATGCGACCACATTAAGCCTAGAGGGGAGTATGTTAAAATTTTGTGAAAATCGGTTCAGATACACCTATATTGCTCCCATATATATTGTTCACCCGATTTGATATGCACTGCATGACAATAATATTTGGCACCAGACATCAGATACAGCTCTGAAATATATCTGCCAAATCGGTTCAAATTTGGATATAGCTCCCATATATATCGTTATTCGATTTCATGTTTGCTGTGCACCAAATGATTAATGTCAGCCCAAATAGAGTGAAATTTGAAACATATGGATTTATTTAGCCTAGGGGCAAGTGTTTCAAATTTGGTGAACATCGATTCAGATATATCTAAGCTTCCATATATAGGGTTGCCCATATTCGACGGACCTATCTAGCAACGCCATAACTTTTGACAGAGATGTCACATCGCTTAATGACATACCGCGTTTGAAACGTCAGTCCAAGCAGATTTTTTCCATGAACCAATACACGCCACGCGAAATAGTTGAAATTTACAAGAAGTCAACTGTGAAAACTCAACGTGCTTTTAAAACATTAAAAATGTGAGAAGTGCGCCTTCTAAGAACACCATTAAGCGTTTATACGAAAAATTTTCGACTGGTAAGGCTCTTTCTAATCCGAAGAGGCCATATAAAAGTCGACCAAGGCGATCGGCCGAGAATATCGCTGCCGTACGAGCCAGTGTTGAGAGGTCCCCAAGAACGTCCCAAAAACGCCGTTCTCAGCAGTTGGGCATGGCTCGGTCCACTTTACAACGGATTATTCGCACTGATTTGCATTTGTTCCCGTACAAAATTCAATTGACGCAAAGAATGTTGCCTGCGGACAAGCCTCGTCGATTGGAATGGGCCCAAAGGTCCGTCGAATATGGGCAACCCTGTACATGTTTAATCCGATTTGGTTTTAAAATCCCTCACATGCGTACTATGCAGGCCACAACAAAAATCATTGGTACCGGGCATCAGAAACTGCACGAAAATACCTTTGCCATATTTCATACAGATCGGTTCAGATTTCTATATAGCTTCGATATACTTCTCCTTCCGAGTTTACGGTTATTGTTCACCATATATGTAATATCACCCAAATTGAATAGATTTTTTCATATCAGGATTGAATATTGATCACTAAAAAAATAACTAATTTTTTGGAATTTAAGTGCGATGTTTTACAAAATAGGCTAGAAAAGAGTAAGGAATAGTTAAAAGTCGGGTGGGCCGACTATGTGATACCCTACACCATTCTCCACCCGTATTTAGTAGAGCTCCCGTAACAAAAAGTTTATATTGTGAATTTATGTGAAGTAAATCATACCAACTATAAATAAATATACCGGACCCAGTTTCACCAAATGTAAAAATTTGGATAAATATTAAAAAAATCTATCCAATTTGGGCGAATATTGCATATATGGTGGACAATAACCTTAAATCGGATGAAGATGTATATCGAAGATATATAAAAATCAAAACCGATCTCGATAAGTATTTTTGAGCTCCGGTATCAAATATCCTTGTTGTGGAGAGCATATTATGAATGTGATTTCCTTAAACACCAAATCGGATGAAATATATATATGAGAGCTATGGCCATATTTGAACCGAATTTTACCAAATTTAATGTAATTGTTTCTACACCGAATTCAGTCGGATGTACCAAAATTCAAATTGGGCATTTGCTGCAAAATTAACCCGAAATCGGTTGAAGATATATATGGGAACTATATCTAAATTTGAACCGATTCTCACCAATTTCAATAGGGCTCGTCCTTGGGCCAAACTAATAAATTTCATCTCAATCGGATAATAATTGCGTCCTGCATTTTGTTTACAAAAATACGTGGATTGACATGCATAAATCAGCTCAGAAAGTGATTCTATGGAGATCCTCAAAAGTAACTATGGGTCTATCTCTTTTCCTTCTCCATGTTACAAACAAATGCACAAAGACATAATACTTTTACCACTATGTGGTGAAGGGTATACAAAGTAAATTTCGAAGGACAATATTTTACACCGTTTTAGGAAGTTCGATACCAAAAGTTTCAAAAATATACCAAAAACTAAATTTTAAACATGAGTTTTTAAAATAATGTGAGATAATAAAAAAAAACAAGTACGACCTAAACTTTTTTCTTAGAAAATTCCTCTTAAATCTCACCCAAAATAATTAGTGATTTATATTCATCTACATTAATATGAATATTCAACAGTAGTCAGTATTTTCTAAATTACTGTCCACGGGATAATTGTGTTGCCAAGTTTTTGCTGAAATTCGCAAAGCTGATGTAAGAAAACAGTGACTAAGACATTACTATGTTAATGTTCTCTGTGGGACATTTCGTGAAACTTGTAAATAGCAATGGCATTTTCTTACCGATTTTAATTTGAAAAAGAAAGAAAAATTGCCAAAAAAAAAAAAAACACAAATAAAAGTCCATACATATTTCCTTGTGCCTGAGAGAATTTTATTTCATGGTACATTTTATGCAAATGAATAGAAATTCGAGAAAAAATATTTAAATTGTTTCAAATGTTTGGGCACCTTCATTCGCTTCAATACAAAATCTGAATCTCCTTTTTTAAGACTTGGTATAAAATTCTAAATACTTTTGAATATTTGTTGAGGTCAATGTGACTATCCAACATAAGACTTGGTCTATGGTGGCTTAAAATTTCATTCAAAAAACTTCAAAAATCTGTCATCGATTAAACTGTTTTTAGACCATTAGATTATACTTCCAATTATAACTTCCGCTTTCCTCAACATTTTTTATTCAACTATCCAGATTCTTCCAAACATCTCAGCCTTAATTTTTCTATTCGCAATACCATTTAACTATATATTTATATTTATTTAAGAGACGTAATTTATACCACTTCCAATGAACCTTTGAACTATTTTAATGCACGTAGTACGACTTCAATTTTTTTCCCTTAAAAAATTGCAAAAACTATCTTCCACAAAAGCCCAGTTATGGCTTATTTCTAAAATTAGTTATTTATACATAGTGTATGTTCCGCACGTAATAGACATACACAATGTGTAGAACCAGCACTATGGATAGCAAACTAAGCCACTTATATTGTTTTTTACTTTCCGCCACTTCCTTACACCCACAACTTGCCAACTTAAAATGCAAATGAAATGCTAAATATTCAATCAACCAGCCACCCAAAGGAGCTGACCTCAGAGTGCATATAAATTGCAGCTATTTGCGTGTCGTATGAAATACTTTCACATGCGACAGAACAGGTTGTGTGCTTAAGTGGTTCATGTGTCACTCATGAGAATGACAAAAGAGTAAAAAGGACATATACAAAGGGAAAAAGGATACAACGCTAAATTTTAAGAAAAATAATTGTAATATCCTACAAGAATACGTGCTGTTCCAGTAATTTAAACACCTGGAAGGAAGGTCATCGAAATCTTGGTTTCAAACCAGAGTCTCATATAATACTTGGTGATATTTCTTGAAAGAATTCCATAGGTAAAACCTGGGGCCTCAAACCACACATCATCAAATGGGTGTATGAGTCAATTGTTCGTCACATTCTATCTTATGGTGCTCTAGTCTGGTGGCACTCCCTTAAGAAGTTAACTTACTTACGATACATTGACAAAGTTCAAAGAGGTGCCTTCAGGAGCACACCTCAAGCAGCACTGAACACCCTACTGTGCTTAAGTCCACCGAGCATTCATGTAGAGGAACAGGAAATCAGGTGTGCTCTTTAACTCAGAGAACTAAACGAATGGCGCAGTCAATCCTTTGGACATTCTGCGATTCTAAGACATGAAAGGAATGTGGGAGTGGAAGCCAACACAAGTGATTATATTTCACTGCGGTTGGACTTGGACCCACCTACACATACCTAACAGAGACGCCTGGGCTCATAACAACCCACCTTTCCACGGCATAGCTGTTTATACCGACGGTTCAAAGATGGAATATGGAACGGGAGCTGGTGTCTTCTGTGATAGCCTTAATGTTCGTGAATCCTACAAGCTTGGAAACGACTGTAGCGTATTCCGGGCGGAAATCTTTGCGGTCAAAAAAGCCACAGACCTGCTGGTCACGAGGAATAGTGAGGTTCGGTCCGGTGACTATATACGTCAATAGTCAGGCGGCATTGAAGGCCTTAAATTTCTACAACATTAAGTCAAGGGTTGTTTTGAACTGCGAAAGTGCCTTGGAA